CAGAAACAAGGATCACTTGCCTAGCTCCCATACTTCAGGATCACCTCAACCCCACTAAAGTTCTATGCTATTTTGGGTTTTCAGAGCCCTACTTTTCCAATTAAAAAAGAAAAAGAGAGAAAGAAAAGAAAAAGCCTGCAACATCCTTCTAGGAGTTCACACGTAGCCAAAGGATGCTCAGGGAGTAGCGTTATGGAGACCAGATTAAGACTGTCCTATTAGAAACTTACATACATATAACATCAAGTCGGGGAAGGCAAGGAAAAGAGGGGCAGAGTCCAGAATATAAGTCCTCAAATACTCAGTTTTAGAATATGAAGCTGAATTACTTTCAGACTGCAAGGTAACCCACAACCCCTAGTTTTAAACAAGGTCTCTAATAAAAGTTTCATGAACTGGCATTTTGCAAAGAGTTAACTGGATGTGTAACCCAGGCAGCCTCGCCTCTTTGTGTCAGGGTGGACTCGGGTCCACGTTAAAGGCAGGAGAAACGTTTAGCATCTTGATCTGCTTTTGCGGATGGTAGAGAAAATACATCCCTGCTGGGAAGCTTCAGTTTTGTGTTTTGTACTAAGTGCAATCCTGAAGCCCCCTACACGTGACTGTGGCTTTGGGAGGTATACAAGTTTCCGTAGGTGGTCAGCGAAATGGCACCCAGGGGGAATTTAGAAGTGACTGGGCTGAATCTGGACTCTTGGTCTTCCCTGCCTACTGTCCAGCTGTTTCCCAGTCCCCACTCCCGGTAGTGTCCAGAGGAAGAGTCACCACTCATGGCTAGCTTGGTACAAATACTTCTTATCTTTCAAAAATTCCTATTTCTTCAGTGCTGCTGCAGGATCATGATAGAACAAGACATGCCATTACCTTAAAAAAGTTGACTGAACCCTTTTCCCGAATTGGGAACTGGGCCTGAGCCCACCGACAGGCTGCATAATCAGAGGAATATCTAAGGAGCTGGAAGTGCTGTGCTCTCCTGGTGGAACAAACAACTAGTGGCTTCTGCTAAAGAATATGAGTTTTGTTTTTAATTTCATTTATTTATTTATTCTTGAAGTCTCCTTCCTTGAAGGAAACAGCTTCTACAAACACAGAATATGAAACAATGTTCCATCATGTGACTATCTAGAGGTTAAGCAGGAAAAGTTGTTTTTAGTTTCTTGGAAATACTGTTTGGGCTTTTGTCCAAAACAGTTCCAACTCTATTAAGAATGTCCTCAGAGATAAGGATTGGATTCTGCAAAGCCTCACAATGTGTATGCTATGACAGTGCACATTAATTGAATTGCTTTCTTAATTACATGTCATTAAAAATATAGGGGCTTAAATGAATGTGTACTTTACAGAATAAAATGAAACATCAAGGGATATACACTCTGTCATTCTTCAGATATAGCTGAAGCAAATTTATGTCAGTGTAAAGAGCGTCAGTCACAGCAAGAATGCTCTTCAAACTTCAAAGAGCTCATCAGATATCATATTAAGATCAAACTCTGCCTCAGGGAACCTGAGCTGTTTTCAGTATGCCCCTTTTGATAAGTCTGAGTGCAACACAGATTTAATTAACATGACATAAAAAGAGAAGGATTTTTGGTGGTGTTGATTTCCCTCCAATTCTTTTCTCACCTCAATCCTATTTAGACACTTGGTTCCACTTACCCCAAATAGCAGATTGTCCACCTGTGAGTAAATGAAGGATTGAAAATGGTCAGCTATTATGGAAACAATACCTGGAAGATAATGCTTTCAAAGCGGAGAAAATCTAACAGATATTCATCATCAGGAGGGCATATTACATGCTGTGTTCTCTTCTATTTTAAAATTCTACTTAAATAAATGTTGTCCTTATGTAAAAATAACTTATTCAGAATTAACTGATGTTTATTGAGCATCAACTATGCACCAAGGGTCTATAGGAACCTTTTCATATGCAAACATCATAGCAACTCTTAAGACTTTGAGTAAAGGAGGTTGCATCCCTGGATGAACGTCACACCATGAAGTCTCCAATTTAACTCAAAATTTATATTGCAGGTGCAGATTTATTATTTGCTATCCTACTGCCTCCTTAGTGATAGCACACTCAAGGGATACCAGGGGAGAATGCTAGTGCACTTTCCCTATTAGCATCCCTTCACTATTTTTCCCGGCAATATCTAGTGACTTTACCCCTTTACTTGTATTATGTTGGTAACTCTCATTGCACACATTGACAATTACTCTGGATCTTTACGCTTATTAAATTGGAGTGACAAAATTTAGTTCACATTCCAACTTGGATGGATTAAGCATGTCTGCTTAGAGCTCCATGAAGAGTAGAATTCCAGGTCATGTCTAGGTAGAATAGGCTAAAGTATCAATGCCAATGAAGGGAAAGGGTGCTAGTCAGAGTGGGGGACAGATTTTGTTTGCACCACAAGATTAGGCCATGCACTCACTGGCGAGCGTGTCCGTGTGAGTTTATCTGGTAACTTGCCCAAACTTTAAATGAAAAGAAAGGGGAAAAGGGACGGTCCTGGACCCAGAGCTAGGATAACCGTAATACTTACTTTGAATAATAGAGTACTTTTGAGAGCAAAATTAGCAAAATGCCAGGACAAAATACGTAGCACACTACTGTGTGGTATGGTCACCTTAGCTCTGTGGAAAGGGAAGCTCTCAACACCCACAATATCAGTTGAAGGGTTCCTCCTCCTGGCACTCTGGCTTTTTTGTAGCTGTGGCTTCCAATGATTCTATTTTCCCAGCAGCAAAGAGAAACTGAAGCAAAAGCAGGGATAGGATTTCCAGCACTCGGAGATTCATTGTGAAACAAAGGAAAGACGTTCCATCAATATGCAGTTTTTCCGAGGCTGATAATCTAACTAATGTATTATCTTCTGTAGCCTTGCTTTGTTTGTTGCACTAGTTATTTTAGCAGTATGTCAGTTCTGATAAGGAGGCTTCATGAAGAAGAAAAAGCTATTATGTTAGATGAGTTTGGGGAATTACAGATAGCTCTCCTTGTGTTACTCTTATTGAAGTTTGACTGGCTGAGGAGTGGTGATTCAGCTGATGGCTTGCTCCTTCTAAGAGCTCCTTGTTCTGTTTGCCTCTTTGGTACAGAATGTACATTATTCATGTGCTAGGCAGATCCTCACTTCCCCAGTTCTGTTATCTGTCATTAACAAGATTAAATACTTGATCAATGATCATTGAAATTAAATTGCATTTATACGTAGTAATAACATAATAAGGCACAAACTCTTAATAGCAAGCGCATTCTTAGTGAGGGTTTATATTCTGGATATTAAGAAGGGCTTAACGTTTTTGAGTTACTCTCTTGAAGAGAAGGCAAACAATTATAGCCCACAGGGTATGTAATGTGTGCTTACATAGTTACTACTAAATACTTTTTAAAATTCAATTAAGTAAGCTTTAGAGAATTATTTAAAATAATAGGAATGTTTTATGGTTATTTTTAAATTACCAGTAGAGGAGAGTGTTGACTTCACTGATCTGCAGTAGCCCTGGCCAAATGTGGCTGACTATTCTGTTTGCCCATTCAGACTTTGACCACCTTTCCCAGTCTGAATTATGATCCATTTTCCTGCTGCACTTGTTGTGACCTATGGTGTCTCTTGGCTTTTACTACTTAGATTTTTCACCTAATTTACACTGCTTGACACATTACTATATGGGTTTATGTTACATGACTATTTGATTTGTGAATTATTATTTGACTTTTCCCTTGATAAGCCAGCAATTTTATCACATCAGGCTGTAAATTCTCTAGGATTGACAGAAATTTATGATCTACCTTTGTGTTTGTTTATGAGATCTAACAAGGTTTTGAATGTATTTAGGTTAAACCGTAGGAAATGGTTTTAATATGATCATTTTTGCCCCATAAAAAGCACTTTTATGTGGTTTAGTCTCACTGCAGAAATAACTGTCGTATGGCGGGATATGTTTAAAACTTTACATTCCTATTTGTGAATATATGTATACACATATCTACTATATGTATGTACACTGTGATGCTATTTTTCATTAAGGAGTTTATGTTTTCCACTGCATATGTGTGTTAATTTTTGTAATACTTGAAAATTAGAAAATTATACAAAAGTCACATAGGACTGGTAACTGAATACAGTAATCAACAAATTGATATATACATAATGTATATATGTATACATATACATGCATTAATGTACATTACATATATATAATATATGCATATGTAGTAAGTTTAGTAACAGGATAGTTTACATCTACAAGATTTTTTCAAAGATTTTTCATAATTAATTTTTTGGGAATAAATGAAATAATTCAGTGTGATTTCTTCCAAATTTGAATGCACAGAAACATATTCATCTTTAGAAACTAGCAACAAATAGCAGTAAAAGCATTGGATAGAAGAATCAGGAACTTGAGCATTTTGCTTTAAATTTCTGGGCCTTAGATGCTTTGGCTGGGAAAATGAGATAGGTAAGTTAAATGACTTTACGTTGTTCGAATAATAACTTTCTGCAGGTCTCAAAACAAGATTGTTTGTCAGCTCTAAAGTCCACATTCTACACAGTGCAAGTCTGCTGCTCTTAATAAGCCAGACGTTCTTTACTCTTTGAGAAAATGCCAAAGGTGGACAGCTAAGAGTTTTCTTAAGTATAGATTTAGGAATAGAGCACAATAAACCAAGCAGATCAGAACGTGTAATTTTTGAGAACAGAGATCTAAGAGGCTCTGATCCACGGCTCAGTTTGGGAAGCATGGAGGACAGAGGGCAGGTTGAGGTGGTCCGGCAGTGGAGGCTTTACGATTTTCAAGTTTATGAATTTGTGAATTGCTTGAGGTTCATTTTTATCATTTACATGAATTACATTTTAAAATGTCATTAGCCTATTTGGGAAAACAGACGGTGGGCCATTTAATTGGTTGTTTCTAGAAAAAGGATTTGAAAGGTCAAGTTCGAGTGAGTTCAAGGACAACTAGGAAGAAGAAAGTGGCACTGGCCAAGTTACCTTCTTACAGGCGGTGATGGGGCCGCCCAGGCTGCTTGCTGTGCCGCCACCGCCGCTGCTCCGCTGCGCTTCCGGAGCTTCGCACATCAGCGGGGCCTCCAAGGTGCTGTTCAAGTCCCAAACACAAAAGAGAACACTTTCCATGAGTTGTCTGTCTCACTACTTCAGAATGCAGGATGGACAAAGAGTGACAATTTGTCAAACTGTTTTCTGATCGCATTCAACACCACAAATCCTTCGGCTTAAACTGGCATTTGTCGTTGTTGTTGATACAGTTGTGTAATGGGTGACACCACTGCGGACAATCCCACTGTGAACACAAAGCTGCAGGCCAGTGTCCTCCTCGGGCTTAGAGGGACACAGCTACTGCTGACCTCTAGGAATGTTTGCAGCTTTTCCCCAAGCGAGAAGTTTAAAGCCCAGATAAAGCCTTTTTACTTGTCACATTAATCAAGCTCTGCCAATACCAACACATCACAAAACACTCATTTTATTTTTTACAGTGAGGATAAAATATAACTCTAGTTGAAGATGCAGCATGACCCTGTCAAAAGAGCTTCCAGGCACCCGCTTGCCCTCTCGGGCTGGAGAGAATCCCTTAAAATCTGTCTCAGAAACTTGAGCTGCACACCTTTTTCATATCTCTGTCACACTTTAGTGGGGTTCTCTATGTACAGGACCGCACACATATCCTAAAGATTAACAAATAATACAAACTGGAACAATTGGCAAACATTTTCATTGTATCACTGGAAATTTAGCATTAAACTTCAATGCAAAATCCCTCTGAATCTTATAAGCACTTCTAAATACTTTTTTCTGACAATATGATCACGTAGAATTTAAAAACCTACTGATCTCTCAAGTCATAGATTTCAATTTTGCTACTGGCCAAGTAGAACATGTACAATTCATTGAAATATATTTTTAGGATATAGTATAATCTTTACTCATTACCATGAAAATACTTGAAAATGATTACTGATGGGCTATGTAATAAAACCTAATCAGGCAACAGTTTTGCAGAATAGTTAAAATCTGTTTTGCTTAAAATTTATATATATATATATATATTTTTTTTTTTTCTGAGTAATTGTCACTGGGCTAGAATAAATTTAATGTAAATTAAAGGAAAATGTGTGTTATTTTGTTTACTGGGGGAAAAAACAAAATAAGGATGTGGAGAAGAGAGAGAAAGAAAAAGAATAGGAAAAGAGAGAAAGAAGAAGATAAGGATGGAGAGAGGGAGGATGGAAGGAAGGATGGAAAGAAGAAAGGAAGGAGGATGACCAAAGAATTTGGGTTCATTTCCTGGGTATCGATCCCTGGTTATATGCAACTACACTTTCTGGGTCTCGAGCTCCTCATTTATAAATGACATGCGTAGAGTAAAGTCTCCTAATTATGAAAGTCCCTGAAGAATGTGCTACAGTCCTTGAGTTTTCAGTCTCTCCTTTTACAGTTCTGCACATGTAGGAGGCCTAACTTATTAAGCGGTCGTTTCAGTGTGATTACACGTTGAACCCAACTGCAGATGCTCTAAAGACCAAATAGTGTCACTGTTTGGTTTTAAATTATTAACATGCAGAAGTCTCTTTGACTAGAGACAAAGTTAACTTTGGTCCACATAGCTCAGACCATGAATCAAAGAAATAATGTGTATTATCCCTTCTAGGAATTAGGTGCAGTGTACACGGATTCAGGAAGACTCCTGTGTCCCCATGGCACATCTGGTGATCTAGTAGATCACTTCCATCTGCCTCACTGTAGGACACATGTCCTGATTTAGGACATTTCCCACATCACTTTACAGTGTTAGTGACCCCAGGAGTGGGATGTATGTAGGCTGAAATGTAAAGCTGAGAAAGGCCTCAGACTGCTCATTCCTGATATAAAACTGTAGAAACAACATTTCAGTCCTTTCCAGCTGCTCTAGAGAACAGTCATGTCTGACTTGGGCAAAGTTGGTTACACCTCAAAGCAGCAGGTAATGAGAAAATTTTTTTAAAAATCATCCTCAAAAAATTACTTAGCTGCCCAACAAGACATTGCATATGGCTTTAGGTAGACAACCTGATATAGTGCTTTTCATGTGCCCAAAAGTTTAAGAACTGCTGAGCTCATCTTGTAGTAGGGAGAAATGACAGTTCTACCCACGATTTCTTGGTGAAGTTTTTGCTGCTTTAATAATTATGAGGCATAGAAAAGAATTTGAAAGTTTTGTTGCTTGTGTGCATAGTACACTCCATTTTTTCTCATGCTAAGTGTGAACAGTTTAATAAATTTAACTATGTATATATCCACACATGTTTTGTTTATTGTTGTGGGAATTAAATGAGGAAATAGAGTTATATCATGGTACTAAGACCCATGCATTGCTAATGATTAGCATATGGCTCCATTGCGTCAATATTGAAAACAACGACATCTTCTCATTTCCATAAACACATTGCATATCACTTTAATGGTGTCGAATGCCAAAAAAAAAGGATGTAGAGAGGCTTTTCTTTTAAATAAATTGATATGGTTGCAAATTTCCAGTAGGCAACTTTACAATTCAGATCAATCTGTTCTGCAACTTTTGGGATGGAGAAGAAAATTTTAGAGTTTTTGCAGAGGTCCTATACTTGAATCTTCTGAGAATATTTGCTGCTACAGAATACGGAAAGACGGGAGTGACATGAAACTTACACATATTTATTAAAATATGCTCAAACTGATGTTTAAAGAACTGTCATGATATAGTACAGCCTTATAACTTGTCTCTAATGAGTAAGGGTAAAAATTCTTCTCTGGGACAATTTCTTTTGGTGTTGACAAGCGTGACAAGATTAAATCCTTTCAAACTGGTTTCATGCTGAAGCTGTTACACGTGTTTCAGTGAAAAAGTAGGCAAAGTGAGAAAGATGATACAAAAGAGAATTTCATGTAATGACTTTAAACTAGCCTTCTACGAAGTAGCCTTCTTTATAGGAAAATGTCAAATGTGAATAAATGAGGGAATAAGTAGGCACTATACTGCCATCATCAATGACTCATGCAGGATGAATAAGTAGGTCACCATCCGTAGTGAAAATAGTCCAGGAATATTCAGTTATTGAGAGAGAGAGAGGGAGAGAAAAAGAGAGAGAGAGAGAGAGAGAGAGAGAGAGAGAGAGAGAGAGAGAGAGACAGACAGACAGACAGACAGACAGACAGACAGACAGACAGACCTAGATACCCAGTTACTGGAAACTGAGTCATTTATATACTGCTACTTAAAGCTTTGCTCCTAAAGCAGCACCAATGGCATTTCTTTGCAGTTCCTAGATAACTTGGCAACTCAGGTTCCTCTCTAGAATGAGAATGTACATTTCTTTGATTTTAACAAAGTACTTTTTATTTATTAATTAAAACCTATACAACTATTTGAAAAAACACAACCAATATAAGGTATATATAAAACACAGATCAAATAGAAAGTTATGCAGATAGACACATTATGCTAGCACCAACTCAAAAACACATGCTGAAACTATACTAACTTGGCACTATGCAACTTGTACTTCAAAGCAAACAAGGATTATAGTGATCGCATAATGATGTACAAAGCAGTTCTCTAAAAAGAACCAACAGTTTTCAGTGCATATTTCACTAAACAAAGCACCCAATTGTGAAAGGCAAAAAAGTGAAACTGAAGGGAAAACCATAGATCTACAAATATCACCAAAAATTTTAAAACACCTCTGTCAGTAAGTGATTGCTAAAGAAGACACAAAGATCTGCAGTGCAACATCATAATCATCAACGTCACACCTCAAATGGAGCACCACACTATACGACAAAGTGGGAGAGTACACAGTGCTTTCGGAATTGTCAGAAATACAGGATACACGTTTTGATTTTAAATTCAGGAGATTTATATTCTTTATAAACTATATCTATTTATAAAGTCTGAGAAGCACTTAACCAACATACTAAACACATTCTTATTTTTTCTTGGGCCCTTGCACATATTATTTCCTTTATGAACATTCTTCCCAATACTTCTTCTTCCTCCTTGGTAATTCCTGACCTATCCTTTCTGTCTCATGCTATTCATTACTTCCGGTGCTTCCTTCTTCCTCTCTCCCTGCCAGATGAGTCTTTTCTGCAGCCAACTTCCAAAGGCCTGTCCATGCTAACCGCTCTCTGTCCCACCCCACCCAGGAAATGAGAGATGTATATTCTTTGTGTGTCCTAACAGCACCCTCAACCATACCCTGCTAGAGTGCTATCATAGAAACATTGAGTTTTGTCATTGTCTGACTCGCCCTGTAGGCTGTAAGTTCTGAAAAGGCAGGGCTGACTTAAGACCTAGGACAGTACTACGGAGCAGTGGATGATAAACAATCATTTATTGAAGTGGTCTGTTTCTGTCTTTCTGAGCATCTTGGCTAACCCCAAAAGATTTGGAACAAGCGAATAGTTAAATTCAGTGCTTGATTTTCTGAAATGGTGACAGATGGGCGATAAGCCTTGTTTGAGAAGATAATTTAAAGTATTTCCCAGGATAGTTCTAATGAAAAAGAAGCCTGCTGTTATTATCACTAACATGTCAAGTAAACACAGTGTAAAGTTAAACAATTTTAATAAATTGTAAAAGACAAGTTTTGCTCTGATCTTCTCACCACTTAAAGGACGTTTTTGGTAAAATACAGTGATTATCATTCTTTTGATTCCCTCAGTCCTATCAAGAATATCTACACTTGAGCTTTACACTAAATCCTTTAATCTAAATACCGGGAAAAAATTAAATCTCATATCTAACAGAAGAGATCTTGAGCAAAGAATTACAATACTCTCATTAAAATCAATTTAATAATATAGTACAACCAAACATTTGGAGGATTTTAAAATATGCCTCTCCACAGTTCAGAATGAAAGGTTATTCATGCAAATGCCTGTATTTTACCTCCATCCAAACGGATTTATTTACCTGTTCCATGAAACTCGGGGCTTTAAGTCAATCACCCCAAGACTGATTGGCTTAAAACTCACATGATTTGCAATGTCTACTACTTTCATTTACTGACCCATCTGTTGACAAGGAGTTTGTCCTTGACCTAACTTTAGCCAGGCTTCTGT